CAATTTTTCTTTTTTTATTTTACGGCTTTAGTCACTTTCGAAATTATTATTTTTATTATTTTTGTGCGTGTAACACGAACAAAATTCTTTATGGTTAAGAAATCTCTCGAATATTAAGAGCCGTATTCTATAATCAGAATCCTGTGGTACAGTCCGTCCTGCAGTGGACTGTAACATCAGGATCCTTGATGGTGGGCCAATATCAGGTCCCTCCCCCTTTGAACGGTGATGATGGTTACAGACAATTAGCTACAGAACACTACAGACGGACTGTAATTCAGTTTTTTGTTCTATAATTTATTTATCGATCTTTAGTTCTTTGCACCCCGAAAATTTTCCAGGAAAAATAGTCAATTTCCTCGCAAACTCAATCCAACCCAAAGATTCGCATCTGCATCTTTCTGGGTTCTAAATGGGTCAACAACAATCCAAGGATGAGTTGGTTTACCAGCAAGTGAATTACGGCAACATAGAAGGGATCAAAGCTCTTCGGAGAGAAGGTGCAGGCCTTGAGGTACTGATTTAGCACACAATTCTTTCATCATTTGGATCGATCACTGATTAGATTAAGGTTTACTGCTGATTGATTCAGAGGTTTTGAGTCTTACGTGATTTTGTGTGGTTGCAGTGGATTGATAGGGATGGGAAAACGCCTTTGATATTGGCGTGTATGAATCCTGAGCTTTACAATGTTGCCAAAACTTTGATTGAACTCGGTGCCAATGTCAATGCTTATCGTCCAGGTTTTTCTCCTTTTTTGACCCCTTTTTTTTTTTATTGTCTTTTAAGTGATTGAATTTGGTGGGATTCGTATTTTGGGGTTAAATTGAACCAGAAAAATGTTTTGAAGAAGCAAAAAAGATGTCAAAATTTTTAGCTTTTTTTTATCCCCTTGATATGGATTTGTATTTTGGGGTTATATTGAAGCAGAACAATGTTTTGAAGAAGCAAAAAAGAAGTCAAATTTTTAAATTTTTTAGTTTTTTTTTTTTTTTTTTTTTTTCCTCTTGACATGGATTAGCATTTTGGGGTTAAATTGAAGCAGAACAATGTTTTGAAGGAGCAAAAAAGATGTCAAATTTTTTAGCTTTTTTTTTTTCTTCTTGATATGGATTCACATTTTGGGGTTAAATTGAAGCAGAACAATGTTATTATGAAGAAGCAAAAAAGATTGTGAATTTTAGACTTTTTTTTCTTGGCATGGAGATTGCTACAAGAAAAATTAATGGGTGAAATTTGAAAATTCAGGGCGTTGAATAGATTGTTGGGTGTATATTAGATTGTATTAATCGTAGCTTCTAATTATATGCAGACTCTGTCAATCTATTCTTTCTTAGTAATTTTTAATTTGCTTTTTAGGTCGGCAAGCTGGGACACCCTTACACCATGCAGCAAAGAGAGGCCTTGAAAATACTGTCAAGTTGCTTTTATCCCATGGAGGTTGTTGTCATACCCATTTTGGGGTGCAATCAGAAAACGAGAGATTTATATATTTTTGGTTTGAACTGTCTTTAACAGACTTATTCTAATAGGTTATATGTTACAAATTTTCAGCAAATCCACTGTTGGTGAATGATGATTGTCAAACAGCTCTGGATGTTGCTAGAGCAAAAGGTTTTAGCAATGTTGTCCGTGCAATTGAGGTATATCAAAGAGTTTGTAGTTTGCAGCCAAATTCTTCATTTTCTTTCCAATGACTAAGATGACACCTGAACCTAGACTACTTTGCTACTGTGCAGAATCACATTTGCTTATTTTCTGGTTGGATGCGGGAGTTTTATGGGCCAGGTTTTCTGGAAGCACTTGCTCCTCAATTGCTTTCGAGAAAAGTGTGCGTATTTAGTTCTTTTGAGATCTTTAATTTGTAAATTTTCATTGTTTTTCTTGCTATATTATATTTTAAATGGAACAAAATATGAAGCCATCCATGCCACTATTGTTCTTCTGTCATTCTGCTATTAAGAAATTGGTCAGAGAGAATGTGATATTTATTCTCTCATTTATGTGTTCGCAGTTGGGTTGTTATTGTACCGACTGGTTCCCGTAATATGTCAAAGCCTTTCAAGTTGGAACTAGCCATATACACCAGTTTGCAGGTATTGCAAACACAACTTTTCTCTTGAAATCATTTCCTGTCTGTATCAATCAAAGCTCTATTGATGCAAAATGAGATGATCTGAGCTTATATCCTGGCTGTTCAAGATTGAGTTAATTGGGATGCTGTCATTTGGATTTTAGGGCTATTCTAAAGTAGGAATTATGCATGAACATGGTTCAAGAAACTAACAGCTTGGCACTAATTGGCTTAAAGCAAATGCATTATCAAATTAAGCTTATTGGAATCATTATTGTCAATAGTCACCATTTAATGTATATTGTTTCTATTTTCTTAAGTCACATGCCATACACATGACTTTAAGATTTCTCATTTTTAATGTGCAGTATATAATTAAGATAGTATTAAAAGTATACTGTTTCTAATAGTTAGCTTTGAGACAATGTAATCTGTTGTACTCTGTAGATTTAGAAAAGAAAATAGTATTAATGCTCTAATTTGTGAATGAATCCCAAGTCTGAAAATTAAATCCTTTGTTAATTGGTTGTTCCACCAGTTTTGACTTAAGGGTTTAGATCAGCATCCATTCAAAATCACTGTGCTTGTATACTTTCTCTTTAAACAATTTTCTTGTCCTAACTTTCTACTAATGATGAATGAGCAGGATGCCCAACCACGCACTGTCATCGCATTATGGAAAGTTAATTTGGAGGAACCAAAGCCTAACCAGCCTGTTCCTTCAGTTGTACTTCTTGAAAACTCAACAAGTAATATTCTATGCCAATTGTTTTGGGATTTGAAATCAGATATATTTTCAGTATCATATTTTAATTGAAACTCATGTTCATGTATAGTCTCAAGAGGCAGGAGGCGGAGACGAGTGAGATGTTCACCTCGAAAAATTAGGCGTTACTTTGATAATGGTTAGTAGAACAAAGGAGAGAGTGAGCATATGAAAAACTCACCCTTGATTGAATATAAATTAGGCTTAAGTTAGATCCTCCTCGCTGTACCACAATCTCTGTTCTGAGTAGACTTTCTATATGGTTTGGTGCAAACTGCAAACTGATTATCTTCTTTTAGCTCAGAGACTACCTATAGTTGTTGGTTTGACAATTTAAGCACTATAATTTTGTCCTCGACGTTGTAATCAGTATCATCTGGTTCCTTTTCAGAAACACATATTAAACTTGCACCAGCAATAGAAAATGATTGGCGGCAGCTTCAGTGGTTCTGTGATGCATGCAAAGGAATTACTCAGGTACCTTATATGCTTTGTAACATGTCTTGGATCAATCCTGCATCTTGTTCTACAGGATCTTATATCTGCCACTACTGGGAAAAATGGCATATTGTAGATTATAAGTTACGTTTAAATTATTTTACATTGTCAGAACAGTTACTTTTTGGATTTTCAAATCAAACGAGAATTCCCTAGGCTGTCAGACATTTAAATTTGTGACTACTAGGTACCAGAGACATTTATGCCTTTTTGGAAGTTTCATTGATGGGATTGTGCTCTATCCTAGAGCCAAATGCATGGATAATTGTCCCAGAAAAAATTTTAGATTAATTGCAAAACTTAAGCTAAGGTTACAGAGGAAATGCACTAAATTTACTTGTCTTCAAAATGTGTCTCTTTAAATTTGCCAAACTTTCAAAACTTTATAGTTTTGAGAAGTTGACTGTATTTTTTACTATTTGTTTCTGACAAGTTGCATATCCAGTCAACTCTTGCAATATCAGAACTGCCCTATTTGACTTCTTTTAACATCGGTTTCAAATATTGTAGGCGATGCATCCAGCTTTTCAGCAAAACTCTCAGCCCCCATCTGTTCAAGTAACTGAACCACCATCAGATGTAGAGGATTTAGAATTAGCAATGGCACTCAGTGCCTCCATCCATTCTGCCATTTCAGAGACAACACCTTTTGATGTGCATTCAAGCAGCAAAGCAAGTACATCCACCAGTAGGTACAATGGTCCAGGTGCATCAGTGGCTTCAGTTCCTGCAAAAGCTAGCAGCAGTGATTGGACAGCACCTGAAGCCGGCTCTAGTGGCAGTTCAACTCAGGCTACATTAGTCCACAGCAATGACATTCCTGTTGTACCTGCGACAAATCAAACCTCAGTTATCACCCCATCAGCTCCACCAATTGCAGATGAGATTATAGAAGATGGTCCAATTCACTATCCATCAATCGATACCAGCTCCATTGATTTAACATCCCCAACTGATAGCACCAGTCCAAGGAAAGAAGAAGGAAGTACACAATCATGTGTGGTATGTTTGGATGCCCCATCTGAGGCTGCTTGTGTTCCTTGTGGCCATGTTGCTGGGTGTATGTCCTGTTTGAATGACATTAAAGCCAAGAAATGGGGTTGCCCTGTGTGTCGTACCAAGATTGAGCAAGTTATAAAGATCTATCATGTTTGACCAATGAACCAGAATTTGCAGAAGCTGTATATGGTGCAGTAAGTGGCGCATCCCCTATGTTCCTTCTATACATATCAGTCAGTTGTTCCATTCAAGTTGCAATTTTATACAAAGGAAAAGCATATACATAGGATCTGCAACTTCTTGTTCAATTCTTTGCATATGTTTTTCTATCTTTGGCCAGCCTTTGCATGTGTATTTGATCAATAAGCAGAATGCATTTTGTTTGTACCGTACATGTTGCTTCTGTACAGACTTGTTGGAAGTACTTTGACTGAAGTCTGTGTTTGTTTGAGAGTAATTATCATAGTAATGGATTGTGTAAAACTGCTACATATTTGATTAAAGAAATCTCTGTAAAATAATCTTGTAATGTCTACATTTCTTAACCCTTTGGCATTTTCACTCCATTTCATTAACTTGTCGATGTTTTTTTTTTTTTTTTTTATTAACCTCTCGGTATTTGATAATCACATTAGATGTTAATTAATTCAGAAACGAGTCGCATTGAACCTTATTTGGGAAGAAATTCTTCTAACGTTTTTTTTTTTCATTTACAATATTCGAACTCAAGTTCTTTCGCTCCTTTGTTGGTTCATTAACTCTTGAAAAATGTAGCAATGGGGCATTCAATTTGTATTGGTATTCCAGCAGGGGTTTTCAACTAGTTGCGCATTAAGTAGCTAAGACTCATGTTAAGAAGCTGCAATGCATGCTGTAACTCATCACGTAAATTACAACTCTTTTAACTTAGAAATTCTCTAATCCCGACAAAGGATGACTTACCTGTTATTGGATCAAAGGGATGATCAGTTTTATACGACTTTTCTAATTGCGTATTAGCTAGGGAAATAGATTCTATTCACGAAATCTAGGGACGTGGTTGGAAGATTTGTTTTGTTCGCAAATCCTAATTATACTTTGGCATATATGAAAAGGAAATGGTACGGATGCATCAAATCATGTCTTCAAAGAATAGCTTTGTGCCCCTTAACAATTAAAAACAATTTTCTCCGTCCTTTTGTTTTGGTTTTTTTAATTTACTATTAAGGTGTTTATATATATGTTAATTTTAACCGATATTGAAACTAATTTATTTTATATAATTTTAAAAGTATATTTTTGATATTAGTTTAGTGTATTTAAAATTTTATTTTTTTAATAATAACTTTAAATTTTGAATTTTAAATTTTATTTATAAGATGATATTTATTAATAAATTTAAATCCTTAAGTTTTTTATTTTTTTAATGTAAATAATCTCACAGTGTTCTAAATCTAATAGCATACTTTTGTTTCCCTTGCATTAGATTCATGTACCCACTATATTAAGGAAAATCTATTTTTCTTTTATGAAAAAGAAAAAATGTTTTCACATATGGAAAAAAAAAAAAAAAAAACATAGAAATGTTTTTTGTGCACACAGTTGATGACTTACTTTCAGTTTTTGTGCTATTTGATTCTTAAAATTCAAATTTATTCAATTTAATCCCTAATTTTATTTTTTTATTACAATTTGATTCCCAAACTTTTTTAAGACTTGATTTTACACTTTCATTATATTATTTTATATGTTTTAGTTTACTGTTTCACGTTTGATTTTATTAATATTTAAACAAGTTAAAATTTTAAATATGATTTTATTGAAAATTACATAATTTTTATTAATTATGTAAAAAGGATCGAAATGCATGAAATTAGCAATTTTTATATTTAAGTGCATATATTTCAAAAGTTTGGAAACCAAATTGTAATAAAAGAAATTAAAATTAGGAATTAAATTGAATAAAATTGAATTTCAAGGGTCAAAGTGCACAAGAACTGAAGTTAAGGGGCCAACTAATGTATTTTACCATTGAAATTTGGAGGATTTTAAGGGATGAATTGAAGGTGCTATAACATCCATCAATGAAGGGATTACGGTTGGCCCTTTCTCTAAAGTTGAGAGATCATTATGAATTATTTTAAAGTAAAAGAATGATAATGATTCTTTTTGTAAAGTTAGAGGACTTTTAGTGGCATTAAGTCTTTAAAAAAAATGAAAATCCATTTAATATTCCTCTTTTTTTTTTTTTTTAATGTTAAAAAAATCCTTTTAATTCTCACACCAAACAAGTACGTTCATTCAAATCATCTCCTATTTGAAAAGGGTGAGACACGGCATCTTTTATAATAGGTCGCTTTTTTATAGGCAAAGAAGGAAAAGGAAAAGGGGAAACTAATAGTGAAAATTGAAAGTTAAACCTTCAATCTTCAATGGGTTAAAAAGAGCTACTATATGTACTGGAAGGGATAATCCAGGTTGGATCAGTACAACTAAAGATATTCTTTTGGTGTCTTCAGACAGAGAAAAAAGAAGAAAAGGGGGCATATGAATCGTGATTTATACAAATTCCGAGTTAAATACTAAATTTTTTTCCATAATCAATATTTATTAATAAAATAAGTTTAATGATTATGATTTATTGATAATATTGTAAAGATTATAAATTTATAATTATAATATAATATTAAAGTTTTGTTTATAAATACTATGCGGTGCTTTAGCAAAATGGTTTTTTTTTTTTTGTGTTTTTGTTATTCAAAAAATATAAAAATATTAGTTAAAATAAATATTAAACTTCATTAAATATATTAAAAGATAAAAAACCTATCGTGCCTAATATTCTCAAATAAATTTAAATGAATAAATATATAATATTATAAATAAATATTAAATTAAAAATTAATTATATAATAACATATCATAAATATTAAATTAATTTCTTGTACATGAATAAAAGCATATACGTTTACATAAATGTGTACTTTTTCTTCTTTATCATCATTAAGACATCCAAAATGAAACCTAGTTTAAAAAACCAATTAATTATAACTTTTTATAAAAAAATATATATAATCTTAATTTTAATTATTGAGTTCAAATTCCTCTCTCAAAATTTATAATTATTAAAAAAATTCAAAATGAAAATTTTTATTTATCGAGTAAACTTGTCAATCAATGTAAGTGCATTGTCAGTCAAGGATTTAAAATGGGTAACACAAATAGTAAATGAAACTATATTGTGTTTCATGCACAAAAATGGACTATAAAAAAAATAAAGAATAAAAGCTAAGAACAATCAAGAAAGCGGAATAGCCAAAGTGTTAGAAAGTTAAAACTATTACCCAAAAAAGCACTGTTTTGATGAAACTGTGCATTGATGGACTTGAGTTTTGAGGTTATGAAAGTAATGTGCCTTAAATTAAGTGAGTGAAAGGGGTGATTTGGTCATTTGGTCAAAGGAGTTGTCAATCAATGCAAAAGGAAGAAGAAACAAAATCATGTTATATTCCTTCTCTCTCTCCCCAATTTTCTTTCTTTTCTTTTTAACCCAACTGGCTTTTCCTGTCTCCATCCATCCATCCCATCTCTCAGCCTCAACCATCTTTCAATTTCCACAAAAACCCTAAACATACACTTCCCTCCCTCCACATTTTTACCATTTTCCCTCTCTTTCCTCTCACCCTGTGAGAGTTTGGGGCGAAAAAAAAACAGTTATTTTACCCTTTTTTTAGCCAAATATATATGTATATATATATCAAAGCCTTCTAATTTTGTAAATATTTTGCAGAAAACTAAGTTTGGAAAAGAATCCCAAAAAAAAAAAAAAAAAAAAAAAAAAATTCAAAAGAGCCATACAAGGTTATAAATTTTCCTAGGAATTTTTTTGGTCCTGTTAATTTGCTTGGATTTATCAAACATAGATCTAAAGAAACCTCGAAGAAAAGAAAAGGACTAACCCTAGTGCGCTATTATTTTCTCCTCTTGCTATATATTTCCCTCCCTAATCATCTTCTTCTTCTACTCCAAAATCAAAACTTTCTCTCTCTTCCTCTCTCATGGCATTATGAAAGTTCCAAACTTTATGATCTCATTGAAGTGATTCTTAAAAACCCATTTAAGGTTTCCTCTCTTGATCATAATTTCTTCATCATGAACAGTGCAATGATCTAAATCTTGCTCTTTTGCTTCCTGTTTTTAGGTTTTAGAAAAGCTCAATAGGAATAAGATATATCAGAGCTTTAGCAGAGTCTCCTGTCATGGCTGCTTCCGTTCAAGAATTTGACACCTCAAATCCGGCCACTCCAACCACCCTCACCACTGCCACCGGCGCCATTAACCACCCTACAACCCTCTCCATCACCACCACAACAAACATGATTCCTATGGCATCATCCTCATCTTCATCCTCCCCATCATCATCAACCTCCCCTTCAACTCTGAGTCGCTATGAGAACCAGAAGCGCCGGGATTGGAACACTTTCGGACAGTACCTCCGCAACCACCGCCCTCCCCTCTCCCTCTCCCGCTGCAGCGGCGCTCACGTGCTGGAGTTCCTCCGCTACCTCGATCAGTTCGGGAAGACCAAGGTCCACACCCAGCTCTGCCCCTTCTTCGGTCACCCCAACCCTCCTGCTCCTTGCCCCTGCCCTCTTCGCCAGGCCTGGGGTAGCCTTGATGCCCTCATTGGCCGCCTACGCGCCGCCTTTGAAGAGCACGGCGGCAAGCCTGAGGCTAACCCTTTTGGAGCTCGTGCTGTTAGGCTCTACCTCCGTGAGGTTCGAGATTCCCAAGCCAAAGCCAGAGGCATCAGCTATGAGAAGAAAAAGAGAAAACGCCCTCCTCAACCTCACCCTCCTCCACCGCCTCCTCATGGCAATCAGTAAGCTACGTGATCAAATCCCTGCATGGCACCATCTACTCTACTCTCTCTCTTTTTCTTTTCTTTTTTAGCGTAACACTGGGCGGACCAGATCTCAAACTCGAACCTTGATCAACAAGGGAGGAGCAAACCCTTAGCAGCAAGTCAAAGCTGAAAATTGGGTTCCAATCTTCCCTTTGTTATTATGTTAAGTACTATTTCCTGCACTATTATTGAAATCAGATGAATGCCCCCTACTCCTTTAATATGATGAATACAGTAATTGTTTTACTAATAGTAGTAGCTTTTATGTAATGGAGATCTGTTTGTCATAAGCATGTTTCTCTTTGCAATGGAAAAATATGCACTTGTATATGACAAGTAAAAGATTTTGCATATCATGTTCTGTCCTTTCTTTCTTTAAATTTCTTCCAATTTTATAATAAGAATTGGCAAATCACTTCACTTCAGGCACTGAAAAGGGTTTGGAAGAATCATACATTTTTGTCAGGGAAGGAGGGGAAAGCACTGTTTAGACCTGCTCATTTTTAGTATTGTCTATGTTCTTTCTTCATCTTTAAAGTTTGCTTCTTGCAGCTGCTTTCCTTCCTGCTTGATCAATGATATCAGCATGTATTTTTGAGGAGCAGAAAAGCTCATCAAACATGCACTTTCTTGTGCTAGGGACTGTGCCTTTAACCTATAGTAATATATATAATCTTTTCAGTTGACATCTTATTAATAAGAAGGAAATTGGGTGTCTGTACTGCCTTGAACAGTCTATTGATTCCCCTCTTTTTTTTTGGGGGTAAATGTTCATATAATATTTCTCCTCACTCTCTCATATATATGCATTTGTATGTTCCCCATTCTCATGGAATTGAGTGGAGGTCTATGATCATATGAACCCTAATAAGCAATGGAATCAACTAATCTAGGTATGCATTTCCATTGTTCTTTTCTTGTTCTTTGTTGATCTTGAATGCTGACATCTTGGCTTTCCATGAAGTATGTATATAATAAGAAGGAACCTTCCAAATGGGTGTATTTAGGTTCTTTTGCGTATGTAATCCTATTAAAAAAGATTAATTAGGGGTGTATGGAGCTCGACCAAGGCACATTTAATCTTATAATTACACATTGTGCTATGAAGAATGCAATAGATAGAAATCTAACTTTATTTCATACAAAAAAACAAGGGAGAAACTTATGAAGATAAATGTCATGAAATTTTGCACTAGTATTCATTGTCTGGGAAGTGGGTTTACTGTGTATATCTATCATTATATTATGAATCTTTTCATCATTGTATAACATGTTATTAGGGTTTTGTAGGGGTCGTTTTTGTTTTTTTTTTT